AAAATCACTTTTGGCAAATATAATATCTTATAATATCTTAGGAAGGTGATAATAATGTACATTTTCTGTTTATGTTGTTAAACATGCAAACTGTATTTGGCAGGGCAGTAATATTAAGACTAGATTGCACCACAGCCAAAGCATAGTTCATTATCATGATAAAAAAATAGCAGTTGTTGAATCTCTCTGCATGACAGTTTATTTATTACACTCTCATGCAGCCGCATCGTCTCTGTGCTATATGGATTGTGATATTAAACCATAACAGTGCATCCTTATGTTGAACAAAGATGTTATATATTGTAAGCACATCCATCTCTTCCTCCTCCTCACTCCTACTCCGACTGGCATTATCCTGTCTCTCTTTTACAATTCCTTGACCACAGCTGGCACTGCCTTTGTTTGCTGTCTAGCAGCAATAATGAAAACTTTTCAAGAAACATGCTAAACACTCAGGAAGAGAATTACTGAGTTTTTGTATTTTTCTTGACCTGCTAAGAAAAGCTATGTGACCTATGAATAATCAAAAAACAGAGCATGGCAACTAGATTAGACTATATACTCAGATATTATCTTTTAATTTTGCAATAAAGAAATACGAGCATTTTTCTGTTCAGCCGGTACGAATTGATTTTAAGTGATTAAGCAGATTAATTATGCTGCAGCATAACTGACAGACTGCCTTTATTGTTCTGCATGCCCTGAACACATCCAAAAACACAAACACACTTTATGCCAAGTCTGGGATGGAAGTGCTTGCTAACCTGCTGCAGTGGTAGCTTGTTGTTACTGACCTTGGTTCCTCCTCCACAGAAAATATCTGTTAAGTTGGCACATTTGGCTGCATCCTGCACTAACTTTTCTGTTTGTTTTGTCCTTAAGTTTGTCTCTTTCTCCTTTGTTTTTGGAATGCTGGCTAATTTAACCCACTCCTCCACTGATGTGCTTAACTTTTGGGGTAAAAAAAGCAACACTTTCCAAGCACTGGCCAGTTCAACCTGGAACAACTCGGCCATTTTGGAAACCTTTCAAACCTCCTGATGGCCAATCTGCCCCTGGTCATGGTCAGCAATGTCAAATGCTGCACTGAGGTCCAACAGTACCAACTTAGATGGATGGCTTTGTCTTGGTAGATAAACAGTTGTGCTGTGCACTCTTGAATAGATTGAATAGATGTTCAAAACGTAGAGAAGAATAATTTTATTTAAGTGTATCATCATTAGAAAGGTTGATCACGAATGTACTCTAATCTTTTCCTATTTTTTCACCCTACTTTTAAAAACTCAAAACCATTTATTATATTCCTTTTAATTCATAGATATGCAATATTCTCACAAATAAGTAGAAGTTTATGGTTGCAATGTGACAAAATGGAACATGAAGAAACTAAGGCACTCTAATTCCTTTTGCACAATGTCTGCATAGTGGGACATCGTCTTACAAACATTCCTGGACTCTTGCTATGTTTGCATCACTAGTAAATATGAAATTATGGTCACTGCAATGTAAATGTTGTCAACATAAGTCAATCTGACAACAGAACCATTAAAGTAAAATAATAATTCATTGTCAGACAGATCACTTTGGACAGATTTTGGAGAAACTTCATTTTGTGTTGCAGTTCTTATTACTTTCTGTTTTACTGAAGTGAATGGTTTGTATTAGTTTTATTAAGAGTCTAATATCTTTACTTCCGTTATTCTTAACCCAGTTTGTTTAGACCTACGACTGTCTTGTTAATACTTTAAAAATAAAGTGCCATCAAACTGATGCAAGTTGCATTTGACATGATTTCCTTCCAGTATTTTTATTTTAATGGCACTGCACAGTTTCCTGCATGCCTGATTTTTCTTGTTGTCATTAAAGCCATCGGACTTTTAATAAGCACTCTTGTGTTTTCTCTTCCAACCATTATGAAAAAAGAACATATATCTTTTCAAGGTTTTGCTCAAAACCTCGATCGAGTTACAGGGTCAATATGTGACAGCAGAATAAGGAAATGCTTTGTCTTGAGTTATACCCAACAGAACTAGTTTAAGGCAGTTTACCTATGACTAACTCTATCACAAGGCCATTTGCTGCATGAACCGAGTGGCACTGTAGCGCCTTTAGTCTAGACGTCACAGAGAAGAATGTGAGCAACACCGTAATGGCATTTTAACAATGTCCTCTTTGATTTCTACAATCATGGGTTTTAGTTTTTTAGAGCAAAGGAACTTCATTTAAAAAAAAAAAAAAAACTATGTCACATGAAAGTCTGAAAGAGAATTACGTTCTGCGACCCTTTATTATTACAGAGGATAGTTTTGACACAAATACAGCTTGATTATTTGCTATAATAGAGTTGAAGATGTCTTTGTAAATGGTGTACAATCAGTATTCAATTAGCCAAATGGGAAAAACATTCAACCATTACTCTTTTCAGAGAAATATTTTTAAAAGTGGTTTTCTTTTTGCAGGAAGAACTTAGGAGAGAGTAACCACGCCAATCCACCCTTAAACACTTTATTACATCACATCAAGTCAATCCTAGATTACAGATATATATATATATATATATATATATATATATATATATATATATATATATATATATATATATATATATATATATATATAATACATAAAATATTAGATTCAGGCACAAGAGATACACGTTTCCAAGTCTATGTTTCTTGGAACGTACAGCTAAAACCAGTTCATAAAGGAGGTTATGTTCATATGTTAGAACAATTCAAAGCAATGCCTGACATTATTTACTGTATGTTCACATGATCTACAAATAAACCAGCAGGCTCAGCAAATACAGCAATCTATTTCTTTTCATATAAAGGCGACAGTGTGGGCTGGATGACTGAAGTGCTTCGCTGTTGGGAGCTTTAGAAACGAACACAGATGAAACCTGCTTTAGGAATGGATATGGTAGGCTGACGTTAAACATTTAACCTTTCAAAAGCTCTAACTTCAACCCATGTGTGGACTATTATTCAAAAGCCACATTCCTTGAAGTAAACAAACCAATTTGAATGAATGCGACCATTTCTGCAAAGGCTGCAAATATGCAGGCAATTATAGCAGAAGCTTGTTGGTGGCTTCAGAAAGCATTTGGTTGAGATGCAAATCGCAAAAGGCCATTCAACCAAATATTTGAGAGAGTGAACAAATATTGACCCTGTCTGGACAAAAAATGAATATGTACACTCAATTCTCATTTTAAAGTGTGCTAATACTGTTATTATGATTATTATTAAAGCATTCATTCACATGATGAACATATTGGTACATGATGATGAACAAATTCAGTACAAGACTAAGCATTGTACTGAACTATATTACAAAGAAAGGGATTATTTTGTGCAAAAGAGCAATGTACATGAGGCAGAACAGTGAGGTGTGCAATATTACAAAACACAAATAGACAAAAGATTAAATGGCAGTATTAGCAACCAGAATATAAACTCAGTATTTATGGTAGATAAGATTGTATTTTTTGAGTCAAATGAATCTGTGAAAAATGACAGACTATGAAATAACCTGAATATTTGTAGACTGGGAACATAATTGCCATGTAGTTTCTATTTTAAAATAAGTTAAGTTTCCATTGTTCTAATATGAGCCACAATATAATTCTGTTTTACTTTTTTATTTGTGGTAAATTTAATGTCTAGCACTGTGCAGAGGTGAAGTGGGAAAATGGAACGAATGCATTTTAATTAGCATTTATTGTATCATGTTACTCCAAACTGGGGCAGCTATTTATAGCTATGCCACTAATGCATAAAAGATCATTCAGACAGAAAAAAACTAAAAAAATATCCTAATCTATGACCTGTGGCATCTTTACTGGAATATCACAAGAAAAATGTCATAAAATTAAGATTCTACATTTGCAAAACATTAAATGCATATATGTTTTTATTTATTTTGGGTTAAACTATAATGTATATTGGACTAAATATTAGCATATTCTCTATATTCTAAGGGTGAGTTTATTATATTAGACTCAGTAGAGTAGATAAAGTTGGTTGTCACAACTGACACACTACAGGTGCTGTGACTTCAAAGCTCCCAGAGCTTTGAAGAAAGCTAGTATTTCATTACATTTGTAGATCAGAATTGTTTTTACTCTGTTTTGTTTTGCATTAAATACTAATACAACAATAATCATTTGAAAATCATATTGTTATTGAAAACTGAGGGCAAAAGCTTTGACTTTATTTAGCTTTCCTCTGGAAAGCTGAAGTCATACAGTGGTTAGCTAAAAATGTTTGTCAAGAACTCGGATATGATTGGTTGAATTGGGTTTGTATAGGAATTTAAACTGCGTTCTATTGTTTGCATATTTTCAAGACTATTAAAATGCTGTAAATTCCTTAGTTTTTGTGTACTTACATAAATTTTCCAAATTATGTAAGTACATAATTCAGAGTGCATAGAAATGTATCCAAATTTGTATTGATTCGTTATCTGACAATAATAAAAGACTTTTTTTTAAAAGACAGTATCTAGTGGAATATTAATTTTTCATTAACAAATGCACACTGACCGAAAAACACAGATGGGTAATGAAGCATAGAGTTCCATAGCAGGATTTTAAAAAGTTGCAATTAGGAACAGAGTGCTAATCCTGCTTCATGAGTATGTAGGTAGATGACATCACAAGAGGTAGTTTTACTGAGCAACATGATAGATAAGTGCATTAAACCCAAATCATGCATAATTTGATCATTTTTATACACATTTTATCTTCAAAATGTGTAAAACTATTACGAAATTGTGTAAACTAATATCCATTTAAGCAAATTGGAATGACGAGGTTGATACAAATTGACAAACAGGAAAACTGAATTGAAGTTGCATCGTTGTTGTGCCTTAATATCATCAACCCAAACCACGAACAGGAACTGGTAAGAATTTTTTATTAAGTATGATCTTTATCACAGCAGATTTTGCAAAACAGGAAATTGACAAAGACTTGACTGCACAACTGTGTTCCTATTGTTAAGGTAGCTGTGGAAGAGGGGAAAAAAAGCACTATAGTGACTTTAACAACATTATAATGCTTATTTTCCTCAGATAAAATCATCATTTGGCTTAGAATTGGGTACCACCTTTCATCTAATTTTGATTGATTGATTTACCAAAAAGTCTGACCAGTAAAAGTCAAAAAACATAATTCAAATTTTGTTACAGACAAAAATATTCTAGCCCAGAAGCTTAAGCATTGTTTTAATTAAGAAATGATTATGTAGGTATTTCCTAATTATGAACAAAATATAAAAGCGTAAAAACTATCACAACCAACCGCGGTCTCCCTTAAACATTAATAAAAAAAAAATAAAACATTTAGGCGTAAGAACTCAAAAGTACAGTGAAAATCCTCACATTGATAAAAGAAAGTCCAAATCCCCTATCGCTCGCCGATATAAATACACCGGAACTCACATTCCTCTTCGGCGCCACTATTCAGCCGAGTGTGTAAAGAAAAGGTGATAATCATCGACAGGACGTCGGAATAAAGTCAAAATTTGAAGATATGTTTTTTATTAATCCGCGGTGTCGCGTTAACGTCACTCTGTGGCTGCCTGAGTTCCCCCCTTTGTGTTTACACATCCGGGTTTCCCTGTTTGCAGCCCATTCCCCATTTAGAAGCCATTTTGGACACAGATCAGTAACATGCATGTAAACCCCCGACCGACCTCCCCGACGCAGCGGTGCTACTATTCCAGCGAATAACCTCAAAAAACAGCGTCCTGACATCGATTCGGACGCTTCAACTGCTTCGTGGAGCCGTTTCCGATGCGTAATGCGGCACCTTTTCGCGGACTAACACCCCGGCAGTCAATTAATCGCTCCTTTTCTTTGCAACATTGTTGCAGCGTCGCGGCTATTGATACGCGTTGTGGTGGTGGTGGAGGAGGTGGTGGTGGTTAGGCTGCTGGAGGGACTGGAGAGGCCTGTGGTCGGTTTGATCCTGGACTGATGTTTTTGGCCAACCTGAGTTTTAATGTTCGCGAAAGAAAGAGGACGAAATTTCTGTCCTGTATTTAAAGCGGAACATGTCTTTTTCATGGCTGACTTGCTCACTTCTTCTGGGAACTTTGTGCGCAGGTAAGCAGCTGTTATTTTCTGTTTTGTTGTTGTTGGTGAACATGCAAAGGTTTCCTTCGAAAAAGATCGTAATTGTCTGAAATGTCGACCCTCGGTTAAACTTTACTGGCACTGCCATTCAGCCGGGATTTAAATCTCTGTCATAATCTTCTTTGACCGCTACTCTAATTTTCTCTCTTGAAATGTTTTTACTAAAAGGTGCATCTTTATTTCACCCAAAGCTTAAAATACACGTAACACGATAGTTCTGTGTTAAGAAGTTGAACAAATTTCCAAAATTAAAACTGTTGCTCGCCTTCCTCAACGGTGGCAGGAATAGAAGGCAGCAGCTGCATCAACATCCTGAAACCTTATACACTATAAAAAAGAACTTTGGTGGGTATTGCATTTTACCCGTGGACATTTGTCTGTTTTATTCAAGAATATTAATTGTGAAATCTTAAATTCTAACATTCGCTACTTTTAATTTGGTAATAAATCCTACATTTGTTTTATTCACTATGGATTAGCCGTCCTTCTTACCATTTTTATAGTCCTGCATTGAATTTATCTAATTCTACTTACATTTTCTATGTAGAAATAAATCATTGCAATTCTGTGCACTTGGCTTGTTGAAAAGTATTCCATGTCCTGTTCACTCTAAAGAGGTGATTATAAGTATTGATCAAACCAAAACAAGTTTAATCAACCTGCTGTTAGCAGATATTTATTGGAGTATGTGAGCAGATTATATGATGCTACTTTTTTTTATCAGCAGTTGAACATTCAAATACCAATTGTCCCCTTGTTGAGTACAAATTGATGCACACATTTCCCCAGTGGGAGCTATAATACTTTTTCTATTGGTGAAGAAAACAAACTTGTAATTTTTTTTATTGCATTTTTAAATATAGTTAGATTCTGTTGTCTGGATTCCTTGTCTCAGTTCACAAACTGGGCGAATACGGCTCATTCTGATTTAGTAGCAGTGCTAATGCTAAAGTCAAACTTGCTAGCAAGCTGAGCTTTTACATGGCATCTTGGTAACAATGGTGTGACAAAAGAAATAATTTCTTGTGAAAGAGAAGGAAAAGTTTTGGTTGAAATTATAACCTAAATGTTGTAATTTTAGGGTAGTTTGTCTCTTAATTTACTGTGATAGCTATGCAATGTTATGATCCATAGTCGCAAAACAATTGACTTATACTCCTTTTAAGTGAAACATCATCTTCTTTATTACGAAATATTTATTCATAATTGAAAACTGTGTCAAACAGTACTATATGTTAAACAAAAAAATCTGATATTTTTCAATGTAAAATTTAATGCTACATTTAAACAATGAGATGAAAACAAGTTCCATAGTTTGATAAAAACCAGACATTTTGTGGACTAATTAGGCATATGCTCATATGCAAACCTATTGAAAACCTCATTTTTAAGCCTTTTAAAGCTGTCAGCTTATACATATTTCCAAACAAAGAGTTCACCAAAAAAGTCTGTTTTTGTAATAGACTGAAAAACTTAACTCTTTCTCCAGATTTTATGCCTCATTGTCAGTTAAATGTTTCTTTTTTTTTTTGCATGGAAATACAAACTGTACAATCAAAATGATCTTTACCATCATTCATTTGAACTAAATTAAATTAGTTGGTTATGTACCTTTTTAACAATATGCTAGTATTGACATAATTCCCGTAGTGAAATCAAAATCCAATTTTTAATGGTTAAATCTAACATTATGAGTGTCGTTTTCCATCTCTTGTCTTCATTTCTGTTCTGACTACGGCCTGTGCGCGAACCTGTGAAAAACACTTCTGTCAGGATTTCATTTATTTATTGTTCTTTGGTAAATCTGTGTTATTTGATCAACACAGAGAGCAGCTGATTTAGAGGGGAATTATTTTGGGCTCTGAAGTTACCATTACACACCCTTGGAACCATGTGAACCAAGCATGGATGATTGTTTGTTTCTCCCTCTGTTGTTTAGTGAGTTTTTGTGGCCGTTCGCTTATCAAATATACCCCTCTTGCCCCACTTGTGAATACATTATTCTGCCTCAGCTTAAGCTCAACAGATACATTTTTATGATCAACACATTTCTCCTAGGGTTTTTTTTTTTTTCTACAGCTGGTGTAGAAGCTGTTTTAGAGATTTAACTATCTCTGCCCCTAATACCTCCATGGCTTATAGACCGGGGCATGAAGAGTAGGAAGGATATATTAAGTAAGCTGCTTCTCCAGGATTCATGTTTGTGGTATAAAAACCCAGTAAAGTGGCGGAGGGGGAGGGAGGATTCGGGGGGAATGATCTTGTAGTAAAAGTCCTCTTGGATCACGTGAGCACAGATATCAGAAATGCCATCTCGGCTCAGTGGAGCATTGAGCATCACTGCTGTAAAAAGAGTGTAAATGAATGCGTCTGCTTGGCTTTAATATCTTTTTTTCTGTCCCTCCTGTGTAATGAGCATGGTGTTTGGTCATTTCATGCATCCCCTGTATGATGGACTACAGTCTATTGTGTGCTGCTGGACAGCTAAATGTGTGAATGTGTGTGTGTGATGGGTTGGTGGGGGTGAAGTTGGGGGATGGGCAGGCTCCTATAGGCAGGGATTTAAAGAGACAGGCTCTATTTTTTCCCTCTGAACAAAGATTGAGCCTGAATGTCCAAGCTATATTTCGACTGACGTTCACAACATGTCATCTGCTTCTGTACGCTGTGTGTTGAGTGTGTGTCCAACATCAGAGTCTGTAGGGACATTATCTACAGCTTTCTATTGTTGCATTTAGAGATTGGCTGCTCTTATCACATTTCAGCTGAGGTAACGAGAGCATTTATTTTAGAAACATGCCATTTAAAGAGCTCATTATCTGTCCTTACAAACACCATTGCATTTTTACTTGGTGCCTTCTAAAAGTATTCACCCCCTTTAAATCTTTTCACGTTGTAACCTGAAAATTTTGTGTATTTTATTGTCGTTTATGTGATGCACATGGTAGTGTTTAACGGAAGGTGGAGGGAAAATTTCATTTTTAAAATGTGTAGTGCATAAAAAAGTATGACATTCATTATTCATTTAGCCTCTTTGCTCTGCCACACCTAAATAAAGTTTAGAACTAATGAGGAATTGGAGTCAATTTTGGTATAAATAAAGCTGCTCTGTGACCATTAAGACCAAGCAACACAGCTGCCAGATCAGGGTGAAAATTTCTACTGTAGGATTGTTTAATAAAGGAAACATACCGATCTTTGAATTAGAGCAACACGTTATATCAAATTATGATCCTCATTGCAGTATCACATTTGCAAAGAATAGTTTTGAATATCTTTAATACATTTGGCCAGTTGAATGTGCCTTTAATGGCCATATTGAATGTGGCTGAGGTTCTCATGGATAAAGTAACATGTCAAAATTTTGGCTCAGAAACATATCAAGTTATAAGGATTATCAATCAATATCAATAATTGTTATGTTTTTTTGTTTTAAATATCTGAAATACTGCTAAACTTTTGACGTGACGTTTTCTGTTTACTTCACAATTTCCTCTTGAGTTGCTGCACTCATTTTCTCCTTTCACTCCACTTCGTTTTTTTAAACTATTAAGTAGTTAAGATGCACAGTGACCAAACTTGAAACTGCTGTTGCGTAAGTTACTCAGCAGGTTGTTGCTAGGTAACCAAATTGAGAGAGTTAATTGATGCCACCTGCCTTACTGTGCGATTCTGGATCAGAGTTCAGTGAAATTATTGAACATTCTGTCAGACGTATTTTCTATTGATATTGATCAAATGTCTATTGCAATATATGTGTTATTGATTTATTGCCCAGCCCTAGTTCCTCAATATCATTGGATTTTTTTTTCTTTTCTTTTGGGACATGGGATCGCCAGTGAATATTTCCCTGCCGTCCTGTGATAATCTCATGATACACTATTTATCCACGGTCATCCATCAAAACCGACAGGCTGGGAAAAGTAAAACTTTAACAGAGAACTGGCCAAGAAGACAAGAACTCAGGAGGAGTAGGAGAGTCTGTTGCCAAATACGTACACCAAAAAAAAGTAAAAGTTGATTCTGGAAAGTATTCGCTCAAGATGTCTGAATACAGATGCATGCCACATCTACACATTTTGCAAAGTTTTGTAGCATTTTCTGCACACTAACTTCAGGATGACACAGGGACACCTCTATAAGACCAATTTTAACTGAGGTTGCACATATGTGCTTTACAGGATTTTTTGCCCACACAATATATTTATATATATTTTTTTCAGATGCATAATGTCGTTTTGCAAATTAACACAAAGCTTTAGCCTGTTATAGCCGCCGGAGAGAAACTTGACGTGTGAATCAAACATAAACCGGAGATGCGCTTTTATTTTGAAAAGAGAGCGCCATAGCTTGTACTGTCGCGCACATTAAAATCGAGTGCAGGCTGGCTTTACTGGGCTAAGAAAGAGGCGGCTAGCTTTATCCCACTGATAGATGGGGTTTCCGATGCTGGCTGTCGGCTTCTAAACACTTCTGTTAATGCTGACATTACTGTGGGAGCGCTAACGATGTCATTTAAAATATTAGTTGCCTCTGTGAGTCGCTGCCGCTCAGCTATTTTTCTGTCCGTGAAAACCCGCCTACTCCTGCCTGGGGTCCAATCAGAAACTGAAATTTTAAGTTAACTTCCGTTGCAATCAAACTCTGTGAGAGAGTTTGATAGTGAATGTAAGAGAGTTTGACTGTGAATGTAAGAGAGTTTGTAAGTTTTGGCCCATGGGGCCTCTCACAAATGATAACAAAGTTCACTGAGTGAATACTTTAGAACATTACAGTAGGAGTAGTGTTGGACTGTATGCTAGGTTTCTATACAACAGCAGGCAGATCATTGTTCTATAGCTAATTAAATCTGATAATTTCTCTGAGCATTTAGCTTTTTTCTTCTCTCAACAGATCATTTAGTCAATGGGATTATGCTGAGCCAGTATTCAGCAACATTTTCTTAGCCCAGAGGAACTTCTTTTTTTTCTTTCTTCATTTTTACCACAGAGAGCTCCCAAAACTGGCTACGTGCCAGAGAGATGATCGTCTCTGCTCCACGATGTTTCGTTTGTAGCGCAGAGCGAACCCCGTGTCATTTGTCTCTGCTTCCCCCCCGCTGCGTTTCAGTTCATTGCGATGCATTGCTGACCAAGGCTTTCTGTCCACATCAGGGTACAGTCTGGGAGAGGTGGAGACCCGAGAATGTGTGTACTACAACGATAACTGGCGAACAGAGCGGACCAACCAGAGTGGATTTGAGCGCTGCGAGGGGGAAAAGGACAAGCGGCTGCACTGCTACGCCTCCTGGCTCAACTCCTCAGGGACCATCAAGCTGGTGAAGAAAGGCTGCTGGCTGGATGACTTCAACTGCTATGACAGGTCAGGTCAACACATTTGCATTTTTATTGTGGGGTGTCTGAGTTTTACCCAAATCAGCAGACAGCTGGGGCAGCAGAGTGAGCATCTCCAGAATCCACATTTGGTCTGGGGGAAGTTGTCCTAACTCTATTGTTCAAACATTATGAACAGACGTCGATAGTTTCATAACAAATACAGATTTTTAGCTGGGAAGTTTCTATCTCTTTAAGCTTTGACATACACTTGTGTTGTGTTTCCAACATGTTTAAAATGCAGCTTGACTTGTTTTTTTTTTTTTTTTTGTAAATTTGCAAAGATGTAACAGCCCAAATCATTAAAAGATCAATTCTGTCAGCTCAATATTAAAAACTCTGAGAACGTTTAAATCATTCTTGCTCAATTATGAGACTCGTAAAAATGATAGAATATGTGAATCACTTTTAAAAGTGGGCAGTATTTTTGTTTTAGATGCTCTGTAAACAACACATCTCCCTCCTATTTCTGCCTTTGAATAATTTGACGTTATAACCTTATAGAGAATGGCTCTGTTCTCTCAGCCAATCACTCCAGATTTTAGTGAGATGGGAGAACTATTGGCTACAAATTACATGAAATCCTTGTTGCTCTGGTACATTAGCTTGATTTTAACATGTTGTTAATTACATTAAAATTACAAAGCCTTATTAAAGTAACTCTTTCCAGGTTGTTCTTCCAGCCCTTATTGAAGCTAGGCCTTAGCATGCATGCATTTCTCACACTGTGACAGGTTTTTTTTAATCAGTAAAGTAACAGATATTCCTATTGTTTAAAAGCTGATACACTGACTATTACAGGTTACCAAAAAAGTCATTTCATTTTGATGCAGTAGGCTGCTCAAAGCAGTGTTTCTTTAATAAGAGTAAGGTATGGCACTTCTTTAGCTTCTATATCTCAGCTCTCACGTTTGTCTCGTTAGTAAGGTCAAAGTTATTCCTGTTTCCACCCCAAATTCAGACAAAACTCCATTCACTCTGACACTTAGTTTTTTTTTTATTGAAAAACCTTTTACATGAAAAATACCCAGGATAGGCTGAAAATCAGTTGGGTTACTGAAACAGAGAGTTTTAAAACAATCTTTCTATACCTTCATATATATTGCTTAGTTCAACTAAAACAATGTTTTTCATTCCAAAGGGAATTTGCACAACACAAATAATCTGTCCAGAACACAGTATGCTAAACGGTAAAACATAGTTTAATGAAATCTGGAGAAATTTTAAAAATCGAGTTCCTCGATTCATTTGATGAATCGTTGCAGTCCTAGTTTGAACTTCCGACCCCCTTTCTCTGCTCTTTGGTCTTCTCTGCATCCATGAAGCCTCCTTTTCAACTCCTCTGGGATTTGGGGCTGTAGTTTTTTGAGATGCTAATCAGCCGCTCCCAGTTGTGAAAACAATACATTGTTGCTATGGTTACACATCATAACAACTGTCAGAAAAGTAAAAGAGATGAGAGCAAAATTACAACAAGCTGCACAGCATTCAAAAACTGAGAGAAGAACTGTCCAAACATTTATAACTGTAGCTAACCTTTACGTAACTGCTCCGTTATCTAAATCGTGATCTAAAACATGTGGGTAACACTTTATTTGAAGGGGGTTGAATAAGACTGTCACGACACTGTCATAAACATGACATAACACCTGTCATGAACATCAATAAGCCTTCATGAATATTTATGACTGTTGTCATAAAGCGTCATTCGGTAAATTATGACACTTTTAATACAAAGTTGACATTATTCAAAATGTCTTTGTTATGACAACTTGACATTAACCAAGAAATCATTACTGTTTAAACTTTACCTTTAATAACATAAAGTTACCTAATTTTTAAAGTGCAATCAGTAATACTTTTATAACAAATTTATATCACTAATGATTTCTTGGTTAATGTCAAGTTGTCATAACAAAGACATTTTGAATAATGTCAACTTTGTACTAAAAGTGTGATAATTTATCGAATGACGCTTTATGACAACAGTCATAAATATTCATGAAGGCTTATTCATGTTCATGACAGGTGTCATGTCAGTCTTATTCACCCCCCTTCAAATAAAGTGTTACCAACATTTTTTCTCCCTGGTTGGTTTAAGATCGGAAGTTGCTGTTAGATATTTTAAGCAAATAAAGAACAGGAAGCATAGAAAAAAAAAAATCTTGCCAGTAGAATTTATTATTGTATTAAAAGTTGTAGTTACTTGGAAGAGAAAACCTTGAACTCCTGGTTTTGAATGAAAACAAAAATGGACAAAAATGGCATCTCTGGGAGAGAGCCAGTTTCAGAACCTGTATAACGAGACTCTACTATCAGATATGCTTCTGATGAAACAAAGGTAAATGTGCTGCTACACATCAGCTTTACCAGACAGTTATGTTTGAAGTCTTTGATTCTACTTGCACAAGTTCAATAAGTTCGACTTGAGACAAAACACTAGAACAAGATGTGTGATTTGTAGCAACTAAATTAGATTTTTTTTGTTTTGACACACACACAAAAAAAGAAATGTTTTACATAAATCAATATAAAATATAATAGTGCAGTCCAGGCTTGACTAGCCTGTATATTGCAGCTGTTAGGCTTGGCCCCAGTGGTTTAAAAATGGAAAATGTCACAAATAGAATAAAAGTCATATTTATCTTAATCAGTGCTTTTAAAAAACTGAAATAGCCATCTAGTTTATGACACGCAGTGACTTTCAGGTTATTCTCAGTGTTGGAAAGTCATCTGCGTCTCTTACTTTTTTTTCCCCCTCTGATACCTAAAGTGCTTCCGCAAAAATAAATGTGATCAAGGCTGCTTTAATGCCTTTCAAAACAGAATGTTTTCAACCAGCTCAGTGAGACGTCTCTATTTGATGACTTTGTCAATGTAAGAAGGAAAATCTTTTAAACATGAGTGTTGAACATAAATACACCATGCCAGAGTTCACGTCCTTCATACCTGGACTCACTTTAATAGGTTGTTGACATACTGACAGCAACTGAATAGTACTTGGTCAGACACTTTGACAAGAGTTACTGAGATGTTTTGTGCTATTTACATTATCTGATAGTCCACCAAAGGCATCCAAAGTCACAGTTTGCGAACGAGAAGTCTGGTTTGTGTTCCTTTTGTTAGTGATCAGAGGATTTTATACAGCAAACGACAAACTCCCTTCTAACTAGTTTCATTTGGCTTAATTTATGAAACACCAAAAATGTATTTATTTTGGTCTTCCGTCATATGTTTTAGGCAAGAGTGTGTCTCTATGGAGGAAAACCCTCAGGTGTTCTTCTGCTGCTGCGAAGGAAACTACTGCAATGAGCGATTCACTCACCTTCCTGACTTGATTGGCAGCCGGAGCCGAGGTGAGTGGTGATGAAGCCAACCTACGCACAGTGAACGCTGCTGTTGATTATAACACATCACTTTTGGGCCATAGTGCTTTATTATTACGCACTTTAGCAGCTGCTAAATGGGGCAGTGGTTACAATATCCACTTCTTTGCCAATGTTGTCAGATTTTTATGGTGATTTTCTGTTTTTTAAAGACTAAAGTTGATCTTGAATATACATTGTATTTATTATATACTGTATATATTTTAATCATTTTTTTTGACAATGAAACAAACTGATGAAAACTAGGTAATAAATATGGAATACCAACATTTGAGTTTTTATGCTGGTAAAACTCTTGACTGGGATGTTGTGATCTTTAACATAGTGACTTATTTCACCTTTTCGATTGCTTTGTTTCTACTTCTTAAATTCGTCCTGCAGCGTAGTAGATTTAAAAACTAATATGAAACATCTGTGCTGTCATAATAAGCATATTTAAGATGTTGGTGTATATATTAGTTTTTGTACTTAATCTTGAATTACACAGAAGCTACTTGAATCCGTCACAGATGCATGTAAGAATAGGCTGCTTCTCTATACTGAGTCATTGTGCGTCACTTCATTAAAATCAGTATGTATGCTTGAAAACTCAGTAGCTTTGAAGTGCCGTAATATCCCACGCTGCATTTAATCAGTATAATATGGTCTGCATTAGGATTGTAATTGTGCTCCATTTGAGTCCCTCATATTTGATGTTTTCAAAGCTGCAGTCTCTGATTTTCTTGACAGCGACAGCTTCTATGGTTACGAGAGTAGTAGGGCTGCAGCTAACAATTATTTGACTAATCGAGTATTTTATTGATTAGTCTGATGATTATTGGGATATAAAAAAGGACACATTGTGCACATTTTTCATTTTTAAGTTTATTTTATATTATATAAAAATAAACAAGTAATTCAACTCCTTTTTAAAGTAAGAAAATAAACATTTCATTGCCTAAAATACAAAAGCAAAATTTCTTTAGTCTGCAGTTTAACATTTGTAGCAAAGGACGGTTAGAACATATTTATTGACAAAGAAGTTTTTTTGTTAACTTCAATGGAAAATGTATAAGTTTTGTACAATTATGCTACTGACTGTGTTGCTCTTTCGGCAAATAGCTTTAGCGATTATGCAATAAATGCAGTAACGATTATTTCAATAACTGATTCCTTACAATTTATCCAGCTGATTCTTTCAGCTCTAAACGGTAGTTTCCACTGGTCAGTTAAATTTTCCTGAGCATGTAGGAGTGGACAATGCAGATTCAGTCTTTAACCAGGTCACTCCTTGTCCCTGATGACATTTTCATATGGAAACTTTTGCTTCAGTTCTAAGTTTATGCTTGGATGTTTACTCTTAATTTGACTTGTTTGAGAATTTGGCTGATAGACAGGCGCGGAGCTTTAGGGGGGGCCCGGGCGGGTGCCCATGGGGGCCCGGGTCTGGAGGTGCCAGGGAGGGAGGAATGGTTTGAAGTTGCTTTAATGTCTGATTATAGACGGAAAAAGTTCACCCTCTCCTGTTCTCAGAAAGGTGTATGTAAAGTTACTGTCCCTCAATGGAATATATAGTAGTCAGTGCCATTGACTCTTTCACTCACGGTTTAGCCACTGTGCTGCCAGGGTAAAAATCAAACGACAAACACGTGAGGGGCCCGGTAATTGGCCCCGCCCCCCGACCCAACGCTGACTTGTTGCGCTAGTGCTCATAGCTATTTTATTGCAGTTCCATTCTATCCTGCGAGAAAAAAAAAAAAAAAGAAAATGTTGTTTTCCAGTTTTTTTGTACAGTGTGCAAAAAAAAAAAGTACAACATTTTGTACAACATCATAACATTTGATGAGTAGTATTTCAGCTCCATTCCTGCTCATTTCTTCACCAGATGCTACAGGAGTTTATGGTCTTCTCTTCTGTCAAAATTACTATAAAAGTTGAAAAATATTTTAGAAACGCCTCATCAGTGGAAACAAAAGGATTTAAAAAAAAATGGCTGCTGCATACATCGCATTTGCTGGTGGCCTAAAAGCACAGACAGTACACCATCAGGTACCTAGACTATTTTTAAATTTTTTATTTGTATTGGTGCTTTAGTTATGGTGAGCTTGCATTCCCTGCAGTGTAACTGATGCATTTAATTTATAAGATAAAAGGTTCTTAATGTTTCACAAGAAGTTTTATTGATTTTTTTACACCCACAAGCTGTATTTGGTTAAGGCATCAAATGGGACAGCCCAAGTAGATGATAAAGAAAAAAAATATAATCCTGGGTTTAGTCTGAGATGATTAAAAAAATACCTGCCAGAAATCTGTAATGATGACGCACTTATCTGTTGGCTAGTTTGAACATCTCTAAGTGGTGATCAGCAGGTAAAGCACTGAGTTTATACTGAAAGCAAGCCTGCAAACTAATCAACAAACAGAATTTAAAGAATCTGGTTTTGAGTTTATATTTTACAAAATCCGATAAATGTCATGGACATGTGATTGGAATTAGAAAATACTTTCTCTATAAAGGAAACTGCACCAAATGTTCTGCTTTCATGGCCAACGTCTGCTACATTCCTACATTAATTTATTAAATTAGTTTGCGAGCATTATGTTCTGAGAAGTCTGTGTCAGTCTCGGCCACCTGCGTTTATTATCTCCAAGACGCGTAAGCTCATGTAACTTTTTGGTGACAAAAATTAAATGTTAACGATTTATTAAACGTCAGTCGATGTTAAAAGTCTTTTTTTTTTTAATCAATAACATCTCCTCCTTTTTAAAAAAAAAACCAGTTCCCGTTTTCTTCGAGGGAGGTTTGAAAGCCTGTCTAAAGCGGCAGGTCATGTAGCCGACACTCTGAAATTGCTCTGCTTGTCGCTTGCAGTGAAAATTCGGCCTCCACCCCGCGTGCAATCAATGCTCAACGTGTTGGTGTACTCTCTGCTGCCACTGTGCGTCCTGTCCTTGGCCCTGGTTCTGGCGCTGTGGATGTACCGCCACCGCAAGCCTCCTTACGGCCACGTAGATCTGAGCGAGGTGAGATGGGCCACTCTCTACTCTGACTTTTTATAGAGATTATTGAAAATGTCTAAAATATTGCATAACTTGCTATAGGTTCTTAATATGTAGCCCATTATATGTGTTTTAATGGGTTTAGTTGACTTTAAACTTGTCTGTTTCTTTGATCAGGATCCTGGACCGGTCCCCCCATCCCCTTTGGTGGGTCTGAAACCACTGCAGTTGCTGGAAATCAAAGCCAGGGGGCGCTTTGGTTGTGTTTGGAAAGCACAGCTAATGAGCGAATATGTTGCCGTAAAAATCTTCCCAGTTCAGGTACAATTGAATACCAAAATGCTGAAATTTTCTAATAAATTTTTGATTTTCCATCCCTGCGTATTAAGTATAAAGCCTGTGGTGACAGAAGGATTTATTTGAACCAAAAATCTTTGGACACCAATGTTTGTTTCTGCAGGATAAGCAGTCGTGGCAGAACGAACGGGACATCTTCTTGACTCCAGGGATGCGACATGAAAACATTTTGCGTTACATCGCCGCAGAGAAGCACGGGACCAACCTGGAGACAGAACTGTGGCTTATTACAGAGTTTCATGAGAGGGTGAGAATTCAGTTTTCTACCTCTCTATAGAATATAAGCAGACTTGTACATGATGAAGAGTTACTGGGCAGTTTTATTTCTTACCTCATAAAAAAACAAACTAAACTTTCTAGGGAAGATTTTGAATTCATATCATTTGTGTCAGGAAAAACGTCAGTTGTGTTCTGATTCATGCCACAATCTGCAAGTTTTTCTAAAAATATTCCTTTTTTTTTAAGTTGTCAGGCACATTAATTTGCTTATTTTTCTTAAAAAGTCGCTGAAATGGTACATTTCTAGGTTACATAAACACCTTGTTTTGCTGTGAATATTATCCAGGGCTTTAGTATCTATTGATTTAGATACCTTTGCGTGCTTGTAACGATTAAATATATCACAATTTCTGGTTAATTTCTGCCTCATTTTGCAGTTTATTTACTTTGCAATGGTGCGGGCCAGTGATTAGAATATCATCAAAATGTTATTATATTTTACTAATTTAATTCAAAAAGCAAAGCTAATGATTTATACAGCTTCTGTGTGCACAGACTTATATATGCTAAGCATTTATTTATAGTGATTGCAATAGGTATTACAGCTAAATAAACAAAAAATCAGTTGATCATACACTTAGAATATCACACAAATAAAATCAGTAAAATAATTTAAACACTGCAAGGATATGTTCTGTTAGAGGAAGACTGCTTGTCTGACAGTTGTCTAGTAAAAAGTCATCAACACTCTTAACAACAAGCCAAAACCTTTCACTGGTAAAGATTCTGGTTGTGTCAAAGTATAAAGGAAACTGTTGAGCTGCATATAGGATTCATGGAGTGTTTCAGTTGGCTGACATTTCTGTGTTAAAAATCCAGTACTTTCTGACGTTATGTTATCTAACAGAGAAATGAACTTTTCAATTTTCAGAAACTTTAATCCATAATCGGCAAAACTAACGAACATAAATGCCTGATATACCTCGCATTTTGTAATGGATTCATGTTGAGGGTTCACATTTTTTGAGTCGAGTTCTGAAGTAAATTGACTTCCAGGCGCGATCCTTTTTCATGTAGATACATCTTGAACATTTGCTAGCTCTTGGTGGGTTGAACAGTCTCTCTTTGTGGCTCCACTTTTGACAGCTCTGCAGCAGCAGTCTGTTTCGAAACGGATTAAAAACCCCTGTGTGTGTGTCCGCACCTGACCTGTTGACCTTTGGTCTGTTTTGTGTGAGCAGGGCTCATTGACGGACCACCTGAAGGGCAACACTGTGACCTGGACTGAGCTGTGTCACATAGCAGAGACCATGGCCCGTGGCTTGGCCTACCTCCATGAAGACATTCCCAGCTACAAGGGGGAGGGGCCCAAACCTACTATTGCACATAGGTAAGAAAATAAAGAAAGAAACTGACAAGCACTATTTCAGTTTAATGGATGACATGCATTCATTCCTGATGTGCTCTCATGCAAAGCCCTGTTCTTTTAACTTTTAATCTTCTACGAATGCTACGTTTTAAGGACCTGCAGTTTTAAAAATGCATGTTTGTACATGAAAATGGAGCAGCTGTTTTAGAAACAGTACAAAATGTTCTAATGGTTGTTTGGGTGCATTGTAAGTTTAAGTCGCACCTCAAAGTCCTTGTTACACGGAGCTACACAAAGTCTACCTCCCCTTTTCAATCATAGATTTTGTACACTTCTCAATTCAGCTTTTATGATTCATGCTCAATGGTGTAAAGCATGTCGCATGCACCTCTCAGCCTCTCTTTGCTACCTGGAATAAGCCTTTGTAATTCAATTGGTTAGGCTAGAATATGAATAGTATGCTGAACTGAAGTCAAGCAAAAAAAAAAAAAAAGAAATGGTGCACAATAGGTATGCATGATAACCTTGTGTAAAAATGCCATCATTTCAAAGCAGAACTTGATTGACACAAAAAGTTAAATAAGTAGAACATGAACATTTATTCAACAGAAAAGCAGCAGTTACTGAGAATGCTGCTAAAAGGAAATTACAGCATTATTACAGCTATAATAATTCTAATATAAAACAGACATGTAGACATCTGCTAAATTGATTTGCTCTTGCTCTGCATGTCAGGTTGGTTCAAACATAAGGAACAAAGCACATTTTTGTGTTTTATTGGCAGGAGAACCGTTTTTAAAATCACTTACTGAAATGTGATTTCTTTTTGACTTGGCTTGGTGTAGTTTTACTTTTTCATTGTTGCATCTTTCTCACTAAGCTGAGAAAGTTGACGACAAAGTGGAAACGGTGTCAGAGAAAATGCATTGTCTTTGGAGAATCGTTAGCCTGATTATACTTGAGCCATGCTCACCATCTTCTTTTTAATTTTGTATTTATTAACAACGTTATTCCCACCTTTTGACACGGGACGTTGTATGAAAGTGTCTAGATTACAGTTTTTCAGATGGTGTAGATGCAGTTTTTCTTAAAAAAGGAGTTAAATATGTCTTTATGAAAAGAAACGGATACTAGAGTATTAAAATTACACTCACTCTGTTTGGTCTACTTCTGTTGGAACATCTGGTCAGAAATGGAAAGGTTATTTGGTTGCATAATTAGTTTTGTTATGAATTGCTCCAACTGCATTTGAGAAAAATATTTTTTCAACTTCTTTCAAATACAATGGTTACATTTCTCTTACCATCTCTGTTGGGTACAAAATTCTGCGCCGATTTGTTTTACATGAATCGCTTTTCTCTTCTCTGTTTGACATATTTCGGGATTCATCCCCTTTAAATCTCTGATGGTTCCCGTTTGATTTATTTCAGATCAGATCTTCCCCTTTCCAGGTTGTCCTTGAATGATTTGTTTCTCTCTCTGAAAGCATCTGCATTAAATTATGTGACTGCTGTGACCAAACACCTCCATTAAAAAAGGCATTTTAATGGCTGCTGTGAAATAAATCCTCCAGGGACTTCAAGAGTAAGAATGTGCTACTGCGAGATGATTTAACTGCAGTCATTGGGGACTTTGGGCTTGCTGTGCGATTTGAACCAGGAAAGCCTCCTGGAGATACTCATGGCCAGGTAGGATGAACTTTATGTTGGGTTTCTTATTATTGTCACCACTATACATGTAGTCCAATTTATTCATACCCTTGAAAACACAAACTTCAGTGTATTTTTTTTTTTTTTTTTGGAACCTCATGTGATAGACCACTACAAAATGGTGTGTTGCTTTCACACGTTCATTTGTGGGACCACGTTTTGGCAATATCTGTCTACCAGCTCTGTAGATCTCTCTCTAAAAAAAAAAGCAGTTTTGGCCAGCCTTCTTTGTGAAATAGAACATCTCTACAGAATGTAGAATCATTCCTGCTTTTCAAGAAAGAGCTTCCTGTTGTTCCTGTTCCATAAAGGTCAGACTTGGTGGAGTATGAAACTATTAGTTGTCATGTGAACAGATTGTTCCACCTGAGGTGTGGCTCTCTGCAGCTTCTCCAGAGTTATTTTGGACGTATTAGCTGTTACTCTGATTAAGGCTACAGTTACCTGACCTGTGAGTTTCAGGTCAGGTCATGACCAAGTCTGTATATTTGCAGTCCTGCCAAACATTTTCTGTTGTGATGTACAAAGCTAGAAATATTTGATTCACTTACACATTCTGTTCATTATACATGGGGCTGCTGAATTTAATTTGTCATGTTTGACTTTATTTGAGGAAATTAAAGCAAATTCTGGAGAAGTTTTTTTTTTTTTTTAACCCTTCAGATCTTTGTAAAAAAACATGGAAAACCAAGTACAGGGGCATCTTTATAAATTATTATTGGAAATTAAATTTATTCCAGCAACCCACTTCGTTAAGTAAAACATATTATATGTATTAATTACACACAGACTGATGTTTCAAAGCCCTTTTTCTGTTACTTGTAATTTTTTCTGCTGACAGCTGGTGAAAACACATTTAATTTCTTAGATTAGAAAATTACATCAAACTAAACATTTTCATAAAGAAATGCATGCTTTCTGCTGTTTTCAAAAGGCACTTTTAATCTGACAAATGAGTCTGATGGGAACATTTATTCTAATTTGAGATGTACCTGAAAGCACTACTTAGTGTTGGTCTAGAAATAATACCATAATAATAAACATTTAGGATTGTGCTTACCACATGAGTACTTTTACAGTGGACTGTATTTGGAGCACCTCTTACTCATTTTTTGTACATTTGGTTGCTGTAATTCGATTTTTTTATTTTTTATTTTTTTTTCATGAATCATTCAAACGACTTAAATTATTACAGAATGGGAGCATGGAGGAGTCTGACTCCCAAATGCTGGATTATAATTTAACAGTTTGCAACAGGTCTGTTTCCAGAAGAAACTGCTCTCAGTCAGACTATTTGAAATGCATGTCTTTGTGAATTTGAAGATTACTGGAGTCCGTTCTTCTTTTCAGGTCGGTACGAGGCGTTACATGGCTCCGGAGGTGCTGGAGGGAGCCATTAACTTTCAGCGGGACTCCTTCCTGAGGATTGACATGTACGCCATGGGATTGGTGCTTTGGGAGCTGGTGTCCCGCTGCTCAGAGACAGACGGTAAGTCAAACAGTGCAGGAATGTTACTTCACCAAAGGGTGAAAGGTCATCTTGCTTTAGGTGGTATTGGCAAACAAGGGGTTTGTTTTTATTTTGTCTGTGGAGCTGTCCAATCAGGGCCAAGGACTCAACGTTGGACGTATTTATTCTCTGTTCTGATGGTTGTTTCTTATGCTTCCACTCTATCAGCCTGTTGTTTCTCCTCAGGTACAGTTGGCGAGTACATGCTGCCGTTTGAGGATGAAATAGGTCAGCATCCTTCCCTGGAGGACCTCCAGGATGTGGTCGTGCACAAAAAGATGCGTCCAGCCATCAAGGACTGCTGGCTCAAACATCCGGTGAGTAATCATGGAAGAATTTCCAACTCCAGCACCAGGATGTGCTGCATCCGTATTTCCAGTAAATCTACTTAAATTTCACACTTCTCTGAACTCGTTATGTTTTTGTTCATCTGTAATGAATGGACTATTAAACTCATGAATGTACTACGGGTGTAGCAAAATTTCCCAGTACATAAACGTCACAATATGCTGTCACTCCAACTGCAGATGCTGCCAGCACGATTTTAATTACTGACGTTTGAGCATTATGACCCCTGTTAGTCTCATATTTTGAAGAAACAAAGAACATGGTTTTGAAAAAGATTATAAGCATTTAGTATTTTACCTAAAATAGATGGGGGCCGAACCAATGACTAGTTTGTAAGACGCAATATTACGGTGTGGTGAGTGAGAGCTATTGTGAGCCCTGGACGGTAAGGTAAGTGCTCTCAGCTGGACACTCGGCTTACGATGCTTATTTTGAGGCATAAAAGGAAGTTGTGTTGATGGAGTCTAACAAACATGGCGTTGGCTGACAGTGTACAGGCACCGTGAACACTCATTTCACAAGTTGAAACTTGTATATGATAGACATTCATTATTTAGAGTGAAATATTTTAAGCCTTTATTTACATGTAATGTTGATGATTATGGCTTACGCACAGTAGAAACTCCAAATTCTACCTCATAAAATCATAATATTCATAAGGATAGTCAGCCACAAAAAATTTAATTGCTGAAGAAGTAGGAATAGTGCTGTGATGGTTATAGATGGTTGAGTGGAAGGAAAAAGTTGGGTAAAAAAAAACAAAAAAAGGTCTGACAGGGATAACCACAGCCTTGACAGGATTGTTGGAGCTTCACAAGGATTCTTCATCGATGCAGTAACTTATGTAAAAAGTTCCAACCAGCTGTTCATGCATAGAAATAAACAGTTTTCAGAAACTTGACATTTTTAAGATGTTCTTTTTATTGCTCTTCTGTATGTTTTCCGAGACACAGAAGGTTTTTTTTTGTTACATCTGTTAGCAATGATTACAACAAACACTTGAAGTATTTCATACTGTGTTGTAGTATGAAATTCACTTTCTGAAATAAGTGACAAAAAATGTAAACTTTTTTATATTGCTTTTCTAGATGTACCTGTAGGTAAAAGTAAAACCTTTTCTATTAAGGGCTTGAATAGTGCTTAAGCACTGGAAAAATACTGCAACTGGCTGTTATCCACTAATGGCACAAAAGTTAGCATCTGTTGTGTAACATCCAACCAGGCCTGTAGGACCTGTAGTCGTTTTTACCAAAGATGCCACTGAAACCTCCCGCTCCGTCTTGGATTGCAGGGCTTGAGTCAGATGTGCGAAACCATCGAGGAATGCTGGGACCACGACGCTGAGGCACGACTGTCAGCCGGCTGCGTGGAGGAGCGCATCAGCCAGATCGCCAGGACGATAGGCAGCACTACCTCAGACTGCCCCGCCTCCATTGTGACGTCTCTCATCAACGAGGACCTACCTCCCAAAGAGTCCAGTACCTAAACGGGTGACACCTTGCCTCACCTGAGCTCCTGACTTTTCTTTATTTTTTTATTTTATTTTTTTTGTTTTTAATTTTCAAACCCAAACTCAGCGGATCTTCGTTAATATTTAACAACTCAGTCCCACCTCCCTTCCCTGTCACCCTAGCAACTTGTATGCAGCTGCTATTTTATCTCAATACTGGTATTTTGTTTCTGTTTAATGTTCCTTTGTGTTTACTAACGCATCCATCTGCTGTAGTTGAAATAGTAATAAGCTATGCGATGGGCACATCCTACACCCACCTCTGTGTGAAACCTTAAACGTCGTCAGTACCGCATGTACTTCTTTAACGTTTTAGTCTTTTTCTTTAATTTTTATTTTTTCCTCATGAGTTGCTGTCTTTGTCGGAGTTCCCGTCTGTGGCCAAATTCTGGAAAAACCTTCGCTCCAAACCTCAGACGACACGCTGCACACCTCGGAGGAAACATCGAGACTGTTAAACAAAAATATATTCATCTTCCTCAGGGGTCGAAGCTTCTCCACTTATACATTTGGAGAGTGCTCCCTTCTTTCAGACCTCTGAATTCTTCAGAATGAGATGGAGAGAAAGAGAGAGAGAAAAAGAACGGAGCACAGCTTTTTTCTTTTTAAAGGGAGGGAGCAAAATCTGAACTGAGCAGTCATATTGGACGTTTTGGACTTTCTGAAGATTTCGGGCAGATGTCTTGTCCTTGGAACTACCTCTCAGGTATCCAGCAGGCTTCTTTGGAACATTTCTATAAGTTGAGAGCCAAGCTATCCAGCTAGCTAACATGGACATATTCCTGGATTATTATTATTATTGTTTTTTTTTAATTGCTAAAATTTAGAGTTACTCCTTTGCCAGTGCCAGGGGCATTGACGGATGCTGTCTGGAGTTGCAATGTTACACATTCTTAATTTTATCTGTATGCATTTGTGTGCGAGCGCGAGAGAATCTGAATGATTTGAGACGGAGTGTGTGTGTTTTTAAAGTAAGGACGATGAACAGGTAATTGAGGGTTTATCCTTGTGATTGTCATGCATTTTTTTTTTTTTTTTTAAGTCATCTGTGTTTGGTTACTAGACTCAGTCGGACACGGGTCCACAGATACCTCAGTCACTGTATGTCATGCAAGGAGAGCTCAAATTGGTTGCCTTTGTCTCAAATGCAATGCCATAGTTGTACCATAATATGAATACCATACATTGAATGTCCGTTATGCTGCTGTGACTATTCCAGGATACTCAAGGATTTGTAGATGTACATGTATTGTTTGTTAATGTAACACTAACTATCCATGATTTTATGTGAGGCTAATAACCTGTTTTTTTGTGGGTTTTATTGTTTTTGTTTTTTTTTTTTAGTTTTGTGTTTTTCCTTTTGACTGGGTAAGCCTTCAGCTGCTTACTCTTCCAGACTGACCTCAGATATTCTGACAAGTACCTCAGGCTTTTTCTACATGTATATCGAGTTGTGTTAATGTATTTTATTGTGTTTTAGTAGTCGAGAGGATTTATTGCAGGTGGGTGGCCTCTGTCTTTATTTGGATTTAATTTTTTCCATTTTTGATAGAACCTGACCACTTTTCACAATGTATATGCCCTACAAATGTAAAAAGAAGAGAGGCAGATTCCTGTAAATATGCTTATACACACAGACGCCTAATACTTAAATATTATTTTTCTTTTGTTTTACATTTTATATACAGGGGCATCTTGATAAATTTGAGTATCTTCGAAAATTCATTGAATTCAAATAGTGAGTCTCAGATATTATTAAAACTCACAGAAGGAAATATTTTATATTTATATTTTAATGTTGATTGTACATCACAGCCAATGAAAATACAAATTGTAGTTTCTCAGAAAGTTTGATCACTACATCAGTAATAAAAAAATATTTTTAATAGGCAGTGCAGTACATTCCCTCAATACTTGGTCAGGACAGCCACTGTGCCAATCTGTGCATCCTTTTTCTGCTATACGTTTTCCTTCCACTAAACTTTCCATTATTTTGCTTCCACACAGGACCCTGAACAGTCAGCTACTTTTGCAATGACCTTTTGTGGCTTGCCCTCCTAGTGGTGGAGTTTCAATGACAGTGTGCTGAACATCTGCCAAGTCAGCAGTCTCCTCCATTATTGTGTTGGCCTCAACGTGGCCACAACATTTCTGTATTAAAATTAAAAATCCTAAAGGTCACTAAAGAAAATGTCTGTTCAGTGTTTTATCCCAGCATTTTAATGGAAGGAAAGAAAAATGTTTTTATTAACCTTAAAAACTTTTATTGATTTTATGCAACGTTTTAACTTTCTGAGAAACTAGCGTTCAAGCTATAATAATCAGAGTTAACAGAAATGAGCAACTAAATTACAAGACTGTGTAACAAACCTATAATTTGACATTTTGAATTGAATTACAAAAATACTTTTTGATTATATTCCAATTTTCTAAGATGCACTTGTAAAGAATCAGGGCATTTGCAGTTCTGTTACAGAAAGAGATTTATTGACACTATTGCTACCAATCCATCTAAGTTATCTAGCCCTGTGGTTTCTGCTAATTTTAAGAGAAGTGTTGCTGATATCAGTGGTTTATGATATTGACTCATCTTATTTAGAAGTTGTGAGGGTGGCACTGGCATTTAAAAATTAGCGTGTATATCACCAACAAAAAGAAAATCGAACAAATATTTTTATGGTTTGGTGTGGCGGCTTCTGTGATTGGCCACTTGTTTGAACAGTATTGCCTCAATAGTAACCTGCTGATGTGATGTTCTGACCTGTTAATAGTGATAGTTTAGCCACGTTGGACAACACACAGGCTCATGTGTTGTGCTTTGATTAGTGGTGGTGAAAGGTAGTGATTATTTTTCTTTCTTTAAAACAGTGGTCTGTAGCTCTTGCTGATGTGCAGTTTTGGTAAAAAGGAATTCTGGGGAAAATAATCAAGTCGACACTGAACAATGTTTTTGAGTTTTTTTTTTTTTTTTTTTTTTGGGGGGGGGAAAACCATCATTGTGTTTGTAGCCACATGACTGACTGATGCAGCACCGTCGGGATTCACGCTGACAGTTTCCATGTGCATGGTCTAAGGGTCCAGCAATATTTACTATACAGCAATAGTTGATAAACTCAGCTGTGACTTTACAGTTATCTTGTGCAGATCAACACAGAACAACTCCTCACACCTGGATCAACCTCCATTGGGCGTCTGTTGATGGGCAGTACAAAGAAAACAAACCCAGGCGTTTAAAACTTTAGTGCGGAAGCTGAACGTGGCCCAGGTGCTTTTTTTTTTCGAATCGTGCCAGGCAAACGGCGCGTCATGTGGTTAAAATCTGCCATGACCGCTTGTTACCTCCAAATGCTGTCTTACACCCAGCTCTTCTGAACCGAAAAAAACCATGTTACCTCATGCAGTATCTTTAGTAACACTAACACGGAGTCAGTCTCATCTTCAACAAAAAAATATATTAAAAAAGTCAAGTATTGTGTATATATTTACTTGCTAAATGTAAAGGGTTTCTTCCTTTTCATGTGTGGATCCTGTGAAAGCAAAATCATAGTTTTTATTTTCTTTCTTCATTTGCAGTCGGCATATTTTTATTTTTTTTTCTCTTATAGTGTGAACGAATGTTGGAACTATGTGACCTTCCCTGTTTATGTGAATTGTGTGTGTGGGCGCATGTGTGTGGTTGGTTGGTTTCTTTAAATCGGTATGAATGAAAACTATCTGTGCATTGAAATGCTTAGAACTATAAACTAGATGAGAATACATACATCTTTTTGTATATGAAAATAAAGATAAATCCTGATAATACAGTTTAGTTGTATTTATTTTTTGAATTTGTTTCATGATTAACTGTGTGACGGTACTGCTAGATTGCTGATACAGTGGAGTAAAACTAAGGTCTATGGGTGCTCATGTACACTAGATGGCAGCAGGGGTGTCAGCAGTGTTGGTTCTTAATTTTTAACTGGGACAATATTTGGAATGGATTTAGTTTTTTATTTGTTTCTTATTTTCTTAAATAATCCTTTATATTAGACACATTTTTTTATTACAGGTTGCCTGCACATTTTTCCTTGTAAAACTGTCATACTTTTTCAAACAAAAACTTCCCAAATGTTTAGCCCTTTTAAAGTGTTCATACAAAGTTCACTTCAAATATACGACAAATGTTCTTTTAGTCAGATGTTATGAATGAATGTACAGACCGAAACAAAGTAGCGTTTAATTGTTTTGCAGATATAAATTATGCATTCACATATACACACAAATAGCTTTAAAATGAAAGAACACTTCTCAGACGAACTGATCAGAGCTGATGGGAAGATAATTGACCTTTTATCTCTGACAGTATTAAGATCTATTTTACTTTTCAGCTTAAACAAGATGAGTGAAGGTATCCATCATTAGCATCTTTCAGGGTTCATTTATGTTACATTTCAAAACCTATCCATACTTCAATTTCCAGTTTCCTACATTTCTATAGTATAAGTACAAACGTTTATCCTGAATAAAAGCCTCCAAAATGAGAAAGAATAACGGACAGGTTGAAAATTAATGGAAAAACTGTTAGGAAAGATGGGCAATATATAAATCATGGACAGAATTAATGCACAAGTACATGGCTGGATAATGAGCTCCGGATGGATGACTGCAAGAAGGAATCAGATTTAACTGGAATGTATTAACTTTGAATTTTCTATATAATTGATTTAATTTGACTTCATAAATATGTTTAAAAATTAATGCAGTTAAAACTGAATTTAATAAATATAAAGGCAAACAAATAGGTGGATGGATTAATCGATCAAACGAGGAGATAAAGTCAAATTACGAATATTGTTTTATTCTCTTTCCCACCTCTTATCCAAGATTGAAAAACAAAATCTAAACTTTTCCCAGAATATGTGCATTATCTGACGAGGAAAACCCCAAACATACATTTCAACTCGTCTGTTCTGTTGACACATGTTAATATATGTGTACTCCGTAAAGTTATCATTAGACGTTGTTGTGATTCAGATAGCAACACATCTTTTTAATCAGTTAATAAGAAAAAATGTGGTTTTCTACCTTTGACTTAAAAATCTCCGTAGGCACCTGAATGCACCAGAGAAGAGAGAATTTAACCAATGAGAAGGCAAGCCATCCGTCACGTGACAACTAGACTAGTAAACTACGATTGACTCCAGAGTTACCGATAGTCTGCTTCTTGTCGATGTACAGTTGGTTTTCACGAACGTTCTGCCTTTGTGAGGATTTATGTTTGCCTAACGGAACATCCCATGGTTTTCACTGCTTTGGAGAAGATTTAAGACATTGTTTTGATACTTTTCTTACTACTATGTTTCCAAACTGCCTGGCAGGTGAGTTTTAAAAAGGCGCAGTTAACTGTGCCAGCAAAGCAGTTTCTGACCCAGGCGGTAAGCAGCATCACTTCAGTCAGCGAAAAATGAAAAGCTGAAGTATTATTGTTTGTAAGCTACGTTTGTTTGCTTCGCTTGGTGACTTAACTTGTTGCTTAATTTCATTGAGTGAGAGCCTATGTTTGTTAAAAAAAATATGATTGCTTATGTCATTTTATGTTACTAACGTTGGTTAGTTATAGCGAAACGTCTTCTAACGGTTGGATTTGCTAAATGAAACTACGTAGAAACTGGTGTAAATAAGATGACTTATTAAAAAGGTAGGTCTTACACGCAAATAAATATTAAGTTTTATTAGCGTAACGTATATAAATCTGAAGTTGTACATCGATTTAAATAGTTTACGGCGCAATACTCAGGGCCGGTCCAAAGTTTTTTGGGGCCTGAAGCAGAATTTGATTATCCAACACTGTGCTTAAATATTTGGACAATAAACCTTATAGTGACTATTACTCAAAATTGATTGCATGGCAGAATCAGTTCTGTTTTACAGTCACTTCAACCAGATTATGTTGTTTGGTAAATACAGTTCCTTGTAAAACTAATTCAGATTTGAAAATTGTGAAGTGAAACAAGAAGTTGCACATACATACACAAAGCTATGTGTGGAGGATAACTAAATAAAGTAGAGATAAAAAATAAGGATTATCTTGAAATTAAAATGATCTTATATTAAACAGTTTTTTCTGTTCTGTGAAAAAACTGTTTTAATTTGAAATGTGCCTGTCCAGAGTTTGCACACTCTGTTCACAATTTAAATGCACAGGTATTGCAGTGGTGCTATATGATTAAAGAACAGCTCTGTTTTGCACAGCCTGCAGTCAGCTTGCCGGTGGAGAACGGAAACTGTAATGTCCCCACAACTTCCTGTCAGGCATTGCATATAAGTCGTTCTGTCTGTCTTAGTTTTTTTTTTTTTTTTAGAGTCAACGTCATTATTGGTTGGCCTTATTATTACAGTCTTTCCCCAGAACATACCATCCTCTATGTGAAACATGGTAGTGGCAGCTTCATAATGTGGGGCTGCTTTTCTTCAGCAGGGAAGGGAAAGGTGGTTCTGCTTGTTGGGACGATGGATGGAGCTATATATAGGACAATATTAGAAGAAAACCTGCTAGGCCTTGCAAAACAGATGGGGGTGGAGTTTCCTCTTCTAGCAGTGCAATGACATTAAACATGCAGCCCAAGCAACAGTTTAAAAGTTTACATCAAAGCATGTGGTTAGACTTGAAAGTTGCCGCTCACAGACGCTCTTCATTGAATCAGACTTGAGCTTTTTCAAAGACGAATGGGTAGAAACGCCTCTCAAGTTGTTCAAAACTAACCAAGACAGCTTTACAAGCAGAGCTGTAATTGCAGTCCTCTTACTTATGCTTCACAGTTTTGTCCTACCTTTGATTACTTGTTGAGGTTTGTTTACAATGTGCATTAGATGTGATCCCAGCTTAGATACAAGCTGTGGAAATTACTTTATTGTCAGCATTGAATTATTACTGTTTTTACAAATCTACTTATCTATACAATAATAAATATTTTGTATAGATTTGTATAATTTCAAGCGAGACATCAGGCAATTCTTGAATCTGAATATCAATCCAAAAATGTCTGAATGAATTTGAGTCTGCCCATTCTTGACACACATGATGAGAATATACTTCAAATTTAAGGGCTCATTGAGGGTTCATGTTGTGGCGCCTCTAAGCAGCAGCCATATTTACTTAGGCCTCAGGCCAGCTTTAAATATACACTAACATAAACTCATTTACATGAGCTCCTCCTATGTCTTTCAGCCGTCCAGGGACGAGGGCACTGTGGTGAGTTCAGGGGCTAGCCGGTCGACTGCGCCACCTGTAAAGGGTGGCGGCTGCCCTGACTGCTGGGATGCTACGGAAGAGCAGCAGCAGTAGCAGCACCACCAGCAGCATCGGTGGAGGCACTGGGACGAAGCAGGTCCAGGAGCTTCCACGACCTGCCTCCAAACCCCAAGAATCCGTATCGCCCAGATCCACCAAGACTTGGACCATGGGCCGCAACACCAAGAACCCCAACCCTCTGAGCAACATGGGCCTGCCAACCCGCCTCATGGGGGCCCCAGGTGTGGATTCGGACTACTTTCTGCAGCTGGTGAATGACGTTAGGTGGTTCGCTGATGTGCTTCTGAACCTCAAGGATGCTTTCCAACACAAAGGTGAGCTCTGATAGAGTTGGAACATGCTGTTTTTTTTTTTTTTGTTTTTTGTTTCTTAAATGTTATGTCTGTCGTTGGGACAGTTTGGGGAAATTAGTGTGAGTAAAGTTTATTCTTTTGTTAGTTGCCTGCTTTTGTTTTTGGTGACATAATTTGGGTAATTTATTTGGCAAACTTGTCATGTCTCACTGTAAGAGTAAAAATTGTATAACTTCATCTAATCTTTTTTTTAATTTAAAACACAAAAGCAATGGTTAGTTTTACTGCTAATAGAATGATATGACAAAGATTATGAAAGTAACATATAATTTCTGAACTGCTACTCCAGCATTTAAACATGGATGTTCAGCTCCAGATGTTTACTTACGTGGTGCAAAGTGACACAAAACATATTTTTCTGGTTGAGTGACATCACATCAGTCTAAACATTTCCAGTTAAAGCTTGTTTGCATTAATACAATTAACATCTGCTAAATTCAATTTGTTTCATAATTCAAATTGAAGTGTTTGCTTAGTATTTGGTAAAACCGTCTTTAAACTTTATGACTTTGGTGAAACATTTTGGTATCAATTCACAAACTGCTCACAGTAGTTTACCTAAATTTGCCATTTAGGTAAACTAAAGTCAGGTTTGTAGGCCACCCTGAAATATTTATACCAGATTTCAATATTGAACAAAATTCACATCAGTAACTAATATAAATATTGTAAGTTAACCTGTCAGAAGCTAAGAATACAATATGATAATCATCTGGATTTTCACAAATTGTTCAGAGGCATGGGAAACCAAAAATTCGTTCTCATTATTATGCCAATTAACAAATAGAAATAATTCTGGTCATCCTAACTAACCTAAAGCAAAATATATTTTGCCTGACTTAACGTCAGATGGAGACGTTGTAAGTATCTGGCTTTGGCTGCAAGGACAAGTATTGACGAGGTGTTATGTTAGCTTTCTTTGGCCATTTTCTCTAAAGGAAACTCAAATCTCAGTGTTTTCAGAGAGCTAACACTCTGCAAGCAGAGTTGTTTTTGTCCAGATCACTGACGGGCAGAAAAGCGAACCAGTTGTATCTCTGCTTTGCTTTAAGAGAAGCCACATACATGGCTCTGTTAGGGCTTCAAACAAAACTGACACGTGTTTTTGTATTGCTCCAACTAAAAGTTACAATTCACCATAATGTCAATCAGCCAGATTCTCCAGTCAAGACTCCAGATTTACTTTTAACACACCGAAGAACTTTCTACGCCGTCATCAACTCCACTCACCCACGCGTTAATACTTGCACACAAATGCACAAAAGAGACAGACTGTAGATGGGAGACAGGTAACGCAATTTCTCTTTGTTTTCCTGCTTACTTGATGGCTTAACTTTTTGTTTGCAGACTCATACAAACATTCCACCCACACATATGAATATTATGGCACACAGTTGTATAAACACTGCCAGTGGGAGGCTGGCAAGTCTTTGTATAGAGGAAAGAAAAGGTTTATTTCACTATGAGTCAGTCTCTGTATATCTATATGTTGCCATTAAAAAAAAAAAAAAAAAGTTTCTTAGCTCTAAAGCAGCATTATGAAACGGCTTCATTTCAAGCTGTTTAAAATTATTGATGAGTTGGATACTTTTTAATTAATAAGGAATGTTCCACTAATTAGGGCTTACGCCACCACTCTGCAAGATGCATACCCACAGAAACTGTATATCGGGCAGAGGGAGTGAGTTGTTTAGTCATTCTTCTCGCTGGAGGAGTGAGAACCTTGGCTTCTGTCGTGCTGAGTGTTACTCTGAGCCATCACCAAAACATTTGGGGTATTCGCCTTTCAGTTAACAACAACCCCCTTATTCAGCAGGTGGGTGAAATCATACCGCACGACCCCAAACTGTCATTTACACTGTGGCTTTTCACTGAATTTGTTTCCAGTTTCCAACGTTTTAGAAAAGCAAAATATTGGGTAACTGTTGCGTGATGCTACTGCAGTCGTGTAAGCCACTTCCTCTTGGTGTAAGCAACCATTTTTCAGTTTTTTCCTGCTAAATGGTATCAAGAATGCGTGACGTTCTTCAAAGTAAATTAACTTTTCGATCAGTAGTTGTATAACACGAGTAAACCGCTAATAATTCTGGGACCAGGAAGCAACTTATCACAAGTAAAATCTGATCTAAAAGCAGATTAGTCTGCAGATCAAGTGGTAGTCGATGAGTTATGCATTCCTGTCTTAAGTTTCCTGAAGTCTTGTGCAGTGTAAACACTGGGTATGGTTAGTAGTCTGTCTGGCTCCTGCTTCCTGCTAATGGAGCATTACCGGCAGGTTCCTTCGTCTCTAAAGACAGACACCCGTCATCACCTGTGTATATTTTTAAAGCTGGATTGTGGAGTGCATGCGCTCTTCCTCGTCAGACAGACACAGAGGTTGTCACGTGTTGCTGCCAAACTGCAGAGGACCTGTGTCATTGAGGCCTTGCCTAATCCTTAATAAGCATGCTTCTAATTTGCAACGTGATGGCTCCATGGTTCAAGCTTTGCTGGTCTCACTGTTTCTCAAGCGGTCGTCCATCTTTACTTGTGCGTTCTCGTGCTCCCATTCCATAGCAGTTGGAGGACATGTGGCTTTTGTCTGAAGGGTCAGGAAGGTTCCAAAGTCTGGACAAAGTTACAATTGAAGGTCTGTTTTAAATCGCCATGTCTGAAGCCAAGGTGTAAACAAATGAGATGAAGAACAGACCCAGTGAAAGGACTTGGCTATAATTGGATATTGTCTTTTATTTAGCTTCAGCCTTTTGTTTCTTATTATCCTCAAATCTTCATCCCCCCACACCCACCGCCGGAAGTATTTTCTTGTAAATAAACCCTTAGATTTAAGCCTGAGAGACATCATCAAAAATATATAATAGGGATTATCGTTATGGCAAAGCTGAGTTCCAGGCAGCCCGCGATCTCACCCTGTCAGATTTTGTGTTGTGATTAGCAGCACGTCTCCTATGATGTTTGCTTCAAGTATAAAACCACCTAACAGAACCAGCCCCTCGCTGCGGTTAAACAACATTGCAGAGGCAAGGTAGAGAGGAACGTGGTGAGTTTAGCAAAGCTCATAACATCACAGCTGCTTTGTTATTATTTTCATTCTCTGAAAGGTTTGTCACTGGAGTACTGTGTGAAATTAAGATTGTTTTGAGACCCTGCAGAGTTTCATTCCAGATTTCAGACTCTGTGCTTCACTTTGCTCTCTGTCTCTGAAAACAACAACAACAAAAAAACAAACAAACTTAGAAGTTTTGCTTGGAAGATGCTTATTTTGTCTCCCAGAGCTCCTGCTAGTTTTTAGCTGGAGGCAGCTGGAGAGGAGTCTGCGTTTGGCTGATGGAAAACTACAGGGAGATTCATTGTTAACTGTAAGCTTATGTTAACTGGACTCATGCCATTTACAACCACAGTTTTGCACTTGAGGTTTTTTTGTTTTTTTTTCAGGGATCTGATTGTGATGTTGGCTTTCCCTGTCTTATGCAACTGCCCCCACAGGTCACTTTGTGTACAATAAGCTGGTGTCTAAAGACTGTGGAGGAATGTAATCCAAGTAAAAGGTTGATGCTTAATGAGTTCTGATGTTTCTGGATGTTTGCCTACATTTGAAAAAAACTCCTTTAAAATCCTTAGATTTTTTTTTTTCAGCAAACATATTGTCAATGTGCAAAACTTGAATGCATGAGTCTTAAAATATAATATCCTACCCAATATTGCATCCCAGTAAGATTTTGTAATCGAAAAATTGCACACAAAAATATTGCAACACCACAGATTGTGCAGTAAAATCCCAGTGGATTTTACTTGCTTATAATGCAGCGCTATGAGGAAAAAGTTCAAGGAGTATAATTAGTTTTGCTAGCCTCTGTAAACACCCATATGACCCTCTGATGCACCCTGATTTCTGAAGCCTAGTCTGTTGCTTTCCCATAGTTCTTTAAATGATCAAAATTGTAAACTGTGAACTTTACTAATAAAAAAACAAAGGCAACATAACTTCATCTCACACCTTGTAAAAATACACATCTAGTTATGCGTCTAACCATGTTGAAGAGAGCAATTGTTAAAAGTTATTGAAGTTAAATGTTTTATTTGAGTTTATTTTAGCTTTAAACTATTTAAAGAGGTTGCAGTCCCCACAATGGCTGGGTTAGCAAGAATTTAAGTCACAAAGCAAGGGCGTTAATTGCACAGTGCTGTAGGGCTTGAATTAAAAAGAGATGGGTAGGAGAAATGCCAAAAGTTCTTCATTCACAAATTTTCATTCCAGTTTCCTTTCATTTGAATAAGACAGCTCTGTCAATGGCTTACGTCGGCATGAAGAAAGAGTCGTCTACAAGTAGAACCGCGTTCCCTTCCCCTTCCCCCCACTCTCCTGCATACTCTACATTCCTCTTAAACAAATGCTCGCTTGTAGCCTTCAATAGGCTAATTGCAGGTATGAGCCACGTTTTCTGTAAAATAAATTAATATTTGTGTCAGAATCTGAAATTCAAAATGAGTATTTAGAACCTTGAACTCATGCGAAATGGGAGGAAACTTTCCCCTGTGTTGAAGTAATCTAAAAAAAATAATAATAACACAATACCTGCAAGACTCAAAACAGCACAAAAGTGAATGAAGTCTATGCAAGACAAAACTACAGCACAAAAATCTCTGGAGAAAACTAAATAGTTTTGTTTAAGAAGCACTCAATCCTTTGTTAGTTTTTACTATTTAGCTTTTCTTTTGTTTTTGTGCCCTTAAAAAAATATAAAAAAATAGCATTAAATTTAGCCCTGAAATGTTATTTTCTTTTCCAGAACTTGTGGAAATTTTCCAAGAAGTGTTGTGGTTTGCCTTCTATAGAACCCAAAAATTGCAGGAATGTGTTTTAGTGTGTGGTGTACATTAGAGTCAGCTTGTATAGACCGCCGCTGCTGCTGGGTGGGCAGAAGTTTTTAACTCCAAACTTCTCTTTATCACGAGGAAATGAT